GGGTAAGATGAAAAGTTATTTCACAAAATTGTATATCATAATATATGAGATAGGACATCTAATGGTGATGCAGTAATGAGTATACCTATTTGTTTCTCCTTTTCTACATTACGGTATTTTTGATCAAAACAGTGGTACTTTTAATTACCAAAATATAAAAGCAGAAAAAATATAATTTCACTAAATTTTACTAAAAATATGATGATTTATATACTCGGTGTTTTGTCATGACAAAAAATTAATGGCTAGAGCAAATTTGCGAGAGCTCGCATTGTTATGATGCATAATGATTTGAAGGTTTTATCGGAAACATTCAGGAAAACGAATTACTGAGTCAGTATTACGTTACACACATTGCTTGCCAGTTTTGCCATGAAGAGCTTTCGTCGGATCTGACTCGCCTTCTAAGACTCACACGGTCCATTGCGGGTTTCTATCGAAATCATACACATAGCTCTATGATTCGTCACCTGTGACAATCTTAAAAACGTCGATTAAAGCATCAGCTTGAACAATCGGGTTAGGAACTTCAAACTTCTTTAAACGATGGCTATGTCAAACGAAATTTTCTGCAATGATATCTTCATACCCTCCACCTGCGACACCTCGAAATATTGACTGTGGACTCCATAAAGTATATAACCATTCTTGATTAAAATAAAATTATCTGTCGATTTATGCATATCCGTCTAAAGAAATCACGTTGAAGCTCACAATATTTAAGATAGAACCTTGGTTGGTGTTGGCTTAAAAATATCATATATGAGTCCACGTTCCGGTATAGTCCTCATATAGCCTTCTTTTGGGAGTTTGGACATGTTTTAATTGGCTAAAAATTATTTGGGTTGGGGTTATATGGGAACTACCCCTAAAAGGAGGCGAATATCAATCATTATTTGTATGCGACTAAAAAATACCAAATTACAGCGAATTCGTTTGAAAAGCACGTTCACGAAGCTCAAAATACCGAAAATTGAGGGTACCCTTATATGGGGGCTCCCCTGAAAAAAAATTGCCTACATTTAAATTTTTAGTGGAGAAATTTGGCACCCTATAAGAACACATTGTACCAAATTTCAGCAAATTCGGTTCCATACTATGTTTTAGGGTATAAAACCATAATATATTCGAACAAAGATTTTTCAAGGTGTTTCAAATTAAGTCGATGCGTTATGAAAAAATTTTTCAACTAGCCATATATGTGTCATCCTAAACGTATGCTACAGTATATTGGTAATCAACAATATAAAGTAGATAAAATATTTAATATTACTAGTCAACGACAGATGGCGCCATACAGAATATTCGGTGTCCAGTGTAAGAGTATTGGATTCGGTTGGCCATATCAAAACAAATCGGGGACTCATTTCACAATAAATTTATTAATTAAATTTTTTAAATTTTAATTTTTTCTAGATTGTGAAAAAGTGAAGGGATGCTACCTATATAGTCCGTAGTTTATTATATGTTTTAAGTACAAAAAAGTTATCCAACTTTAGACAAAATTGGATTCACTTTTGTTAATAATATGTGTGGAGGTACCAGAAGGGTAGCCCCTTTGGATTTATTGTAGGTTTGATAATAACATTACGATGTGCAATCAGCATATTTCTTATGAAATGTACTACGAAGTTCAAAGCTTTGACTATTTGTGGTTGAAATACCAGAAGGATTGGTCCCATCTTTGGACTTGATGTAGGTATGATAAAAATATTACGATGTAAAATGTTTAAATCAATTGCGATAATTAAAAAACATATTTGTTGTTTGATATTCTTTTAGGCGTAGGTACTAGAAAGGGTACCTCGAATTAGAATTAGTAAAAATTAGAAAAAAATTAGTAGAAATATGACGATGTGTAATGTTTGTATAAAATCGAATGCTCCGATCGGACAGCAATATTTCTATCAATATTACGGTACCACCCATTATATGATGTTTTCTGCAAAATTTTCAACGGAATTAGGTATTCTTACAAAAAAAATCAATATCGTTTTACATAGCCCCAATAAAATGGAACGGATTCATAGTATGTTCACCAAACCTATCATGTCCGAAGACCCAGTCTCCACAGACTCTCCCCCACAAATCACAAAATTTTGAATACTTGGATATTTAAACAGAAATTAAAAATGATCTATGTCTCTACTGATTTGCATATTCTTCCTCGATTTTTTTTGTGCATGTGGCTTTTGTTTCAGAAAATAGTTCGGAACGTGACAGTTTTTCACTATAAAGAATTTTTTTGAATTTATGGAGAAAATGCTATTAAAACGTTCATATATCGATTTCTCGTCTTTGAGGACCCCACCTATAATATTATCAGCAACATTTTCGTAGAATGATTTCGTAGAATGAAGGATGAAAACTCACATCTTGGCATAATTGGAGTCCGAAATTTTCTACGAAAAAATTCCTTATTACATTTTACAAAAGGAATGTAATTTCAAAAAACACAAAATGGCGTGATCATACCTTCGAATTTTGACTTATGGCAAATCTTCCTTCTGGGGTTTTCATATGCTCACCAAGGCCTTTCGGCAGCAATAGGGATTTTTAGGATTCAACCTCATGCGACTATCATACCTATCTAAAACCTAAACCTATATCAGTACATGAAAATTTTCGGTACATAGGTTGTAACGAATATGGAGAGGTACCTTTATATGAGGTATAAATCAAAATATTAACTCCTAATTACAGGTCTCTCAGTTGAACACTGCGGCTAAAACTTAAAAAATAACGACCCTAATTGGATATTTTCTGCAAATATGTTATTTGCAGCTAAAGAACCCGAAATACAAATTACGATGATAAAACTGATAAACCCCTTCAAAATGTCGGACTCCCATACTGGTACCCCCCATACTGGTATTATATATTATATCTCAAGACCCCGGTAAATATTTTGAGATGCTGCAAACGGACTGAACAAAATTAATGTACACATCACCTACAAAGAGTATAAAAATCTACACTTATATTTCCTTAAAATCGGAAACTCCTGAAAACTATTCTTTAAACATATCAACGCATATGTTTGTGACAATCAACGAAAAAGTGTCTGTTAATACGGCTAAAGCATTTATTTCATTTTTTATTATTTTAAATTTAACGGAAATATTTTTGCTTTATCCCAAAATTAAGTCAACGTATTTTGGCAACCCTCCTACTCTATAAGAGACATGCGCACAAACGATTTTCTACTCTGGCAATGCTTTCTTGTCATTCTCACTCACTTCCTTTCTCTCATCTCACATGCACAAAACATAAAATAACAACTGTCGTCGGTCTTCCTGTCACAGGCACCACATTCAAGTGTCGTCTCTTCCTCTCTTCAGAGGTACTTTTTTTATGAAACTAACGGTATGTTCTGAGGATATTAATTGTCAGAACGAAGGTGTAAAATAAAACGAGAGGAGAAAGCAAAAAAAAAAACGAAACGGAATTAAACCAACATAAAATACAATACACCAAGGAATAGGCGATGTTTTTATAAATTGATGGACCAGCCAGCCAGGCAGCCAGCCAACATTAAGTGAAGAGGACAAATTAATTACAAATGTGGAAAATTGAAGAACGAGTATGTGAGTGTGTACGCCAACACAAATACAATTATGGCCGATATGGATACAAATGTCTATACAGGACAACTAACTAATGTCCTGTAATGTGTGTGGCAGACGACGTCGACGACGACAGGAAGGCAGTAACATTTACGAGAGGTTATAAATATAAGAAACAAACACACACACACGGACACACTCATGCACACCGAGACAAACACTCCACATCCAAAATAAGAGTCGAAATATTCACAATGCATGTCCTTTGAGAGCGAGCGAAGAGCAGCACACACACAAACAAAAACCATAAAAGAAATTATCGAAATCAATTCGAATCCATCGAGAGTGTGTTTGAATGAGCGAACCGAGAACGAAAGAACAAATTGTTGAGGAGTAGTGAAAAAAGTGAAAAATTGCACAAAACAGCAAGAAGAAGCAGAAAAAAAAAGAAAATTGACAAGGAAAAATTATTGGTGGAAAGTGGAAAATTTTTTGGGGAATAAAAATTGGAAAAAAGTGTTTAATTAAGAGGTCCCTTGAAAAAAAAGAGAAATAAATAATAATTGTTTATCGAAGGTGTAGCCACCAGGGGACATAATATTTTACGTGCATGACAAAAAGTGAAAAAAAAAACCGAAATATTGAAAGAGGACGGACGGACTCCTCAATCCTCAGTAAATAAGGTGTGTTGCTTTTTGTTGAAAGCAAAGTTGGAACAACTGTGCCAGCAGTAAGTCCTTTGGCAACCAACCAGAAGCAAAGGACATTTCTTGTGCGTATCCCTCTTTCCGTGTCGGCTGGGTCTAACGGTAATGGTGGTAACGTTGTGTGTTTCCGTGTGAAGGTGAAGTGTGTAAACTATGACTCAAATACATATGTTGGTTACCTTTATACACCGCCGTGACATTGCAGCGATGATGGTATTGTAATAGTAAACAGCACACAATCACACGTACACACACACACGCAGCGAGAGGACTCTCGTCTACTACAAAAATCTCCAAACGAAGCTATTTAAATAAAAATTATTGTAAACTTACCCATCGATACAACTAAAAAAATATTGAATTAAAGAAAGGACCTCAAAAACAATATTTCCAACAAATTACCGCCCAAGGATATAGCAACAGAACAAGAAGAAGAACAACACCAAAAACAACATTATTAACATGACCATTAAAAATGTTCTTTATTAAAAAAAATCAATAAAGAAAATATCCTAAAACAACATTAACAAGACGCTATTTACAAAAAAAGCCCTCAAGAAGTCGTAGAAGAAGAAGAGCAGGAGGAGGGACATTACTTTTATAGTTCCGGTCTGGCAAATGACGAACCTACCTCGTCTATAACGGCAAGGTTGTTAACAAGTCTAGTAAACATTTAGCACTTCAGTTTATTTCGTGTAAAACAACAACAGTAACAAAAAACCCTCACACACCTAGACAAATAAGGAAGCAGGACGGAGGGAAAAAACGCGCAATAAAACATGGTAACAATGTCTACAGAAGTGGATAAGACACAAGCGACGATAGCCAATGCCATGGCCCAAAAAGTTGAAAATACCACCACATCGCTTAATGGAGGAGCTGCGGCAGAAGAGGTCACGATGTCTTGTACTGGGGTTGGTGGTGCTGCTAGTGTAGGACTAAATAATGGTAGCCTGAATATTAAAGAGAAAATGGATGTTGAAAAACCAATTACAGAGGATAAAAAGAGCTCCCACCTTAGTAGTATTGACAACAAAGAAAATGAAGTGGACGGCAAGGTTACTCCTGGCCATGCAGTTAAGGATAGTGAAAACCCCCCGGCTAATGCACTTCCTGCCACCAAAACAACAACTGAAGACAAAGGTGATACGACATCAAAGGAATATGACAATGTTAGCACGAATTGTGTAAAAACATCTAAGGAAACGGAAACCACCTCATGCGATACTAAAACAGAAACAACAACTACCACCACCATAATTAATAACAATAACAACAACACATCATCAAAACTAGAAACAGTAACAACAGTACAAATAACAGCAACAACAACAACTACAACAGAAACTACCACCCCCACCAACACCGCCAACAAAACTAGTGAAAGTACCACTAAATCTACAACACCCACCATTACGGCTTCCACACCCAGTAAATTGAACAACACCACCACCACCACCACAACAAACTGTTCCTCAACTTCAAAACCCCCCTCCACCACCACCACCACGTGTAATACTCCCTCCTCAACAACGGCCCAACAACAGACCCTATTACCCTCATCGATACAAATCAATAAGGTAAATACCAATGCCGCTACATCATCGGCCAGCACAGCTGGAGCTTCGTCGGGAGCGAATTCGTCTGGATCATCCCACCATCAAAGAAATCAACAACAATCACATCATCAAGGTACCGGAGGACAAGGACAACAACCACCGCCACCATCCTCGTCCTCATCGCAGCATTGCCAGCTTCCCAGTCACAGTGGAAATGTTAATCACAGTAAAAATAAAAATGAAGATGCTCCCAATATTTTGGTGTATAAAAAGGTTGGAACTGCATGACATTTCTGAATTGACCAATCAACTGATTATTTTTCTCTTTGCATTTTAGATGGAGGCAATTGTTGAGAAAATGCAGGCGGAAAGCACCGGGGTCTCGGTACGCACTGTTAAAGGTTTTATGACCAAAGTTCCTTCGGTCTTTACGGGCGCCGATCTAATATCGTGGATATTGAAAAATCTCGATGTTGAAGATGTCACCGAAGCATTGCATTTTGCCCATTTGTTGGCCTCTCACGGTTATATTTTCCCCATTGATGATCATCAGTTGACGGTGAAAAATGATGGAACATTTTATCGGTATGTATTAGAAGTTGGGAGGTATTTTTATAAGAAATGTGTAGGGACAGTACCGATTATATGATTGGTATATTAAAAATCTAGTTGTCTCGATGTGAATATTTATGCCATAAAATAAAAGTTTGGTCACTTTAGGTCTTGGTTAATTTGGTTAATCTTTAAATATTTACGTATAACTCTCACGTCCGAATACCTACATACAAAAAATGATTGGTATCAATTTAAAGGTCAACTACTCATCTTGGATATGCTATCAACTTCTCGTGTCTATGTCCTTCAGGAGTAAATATTAGGTTGGAAAAAACAAATCCATTATTTTTATATGAACTATAGGACTTTATTTAACATGCTTCACACTGTCCAAATATGCACTGTTTTGTTGTATGCCTCTTAATGCCTCTCTCATAGAAGCCCTGCTCTCTATTTGCAAAAAACTCTAAACTCTCCCTAAAATCCAATTTTTGATCATTAAAGAAATTTTTCAATCCAAGAAAAATAGAAAATCACTTATTGCCAAGTCCGGACTGTATGGCGGATGCATTAAAACCTCCCAACCAAGCTCCCAAAGTTTCTAACGATTCACTGTAGATGTGTGTGGCCTAGCGTTGTCCTGATAGGAGACGACACCTCTCCTGTTGGCCAATTCTGGCCGTTTCTGGTCAATCGTTAACTTCAAACGGTCCAGTTGTTGACAGTAGATATCAGAATATAGCGTTCGCCAATATGGAAGCAACTTATAATAAATAATCCCCTTCCCGTTCCACCAAATGCATAGCGGAACCGTTAGTCCTGGTTTGGCCACCGTTTGAGGTGCTTCATCGCTCATTGACCACGATCGTTTTCGCACAGGGTTATCATATGTGATCCATTTCTCATCTTCAGTCACCTTCCGTTTAAGAAATGGGCCTATCTCATTCCGTTTTGTAAAGGCTTCGCAGATCGAAACACCCAAACATCGAGCTTCTTTTTGAATCCAGATTTGTGCAAATGGTTTAAAACATTTTTATGGTCGATTTTTAGCTCCTGGGCGATGTTACGACTGATGACATGCCGGTCAACTTCGTAATGGATTTATTTTTCCCCAACAAATATATACGCCCACAATACACATTTTGTCATCTTCCACACAAAATCTGGGCCAATTTGACCCGCTAAATATCGACCGATCTTCATGAAAACAGTCATGCATTTTCTTTGGTATGATTTCCTTCTCCATGTAAAATTTCGAGGTATTCGGGTCATAATTTCGGCAAATGAAGCAACCAGAATAAATAACTTTTTGGTCCATTTCATCCCCTAAATACACTGCGTATCATAACTATAGACGCACCCTTAATTCAATTGGTATGTTAGTTGACAAATAAAATGGACTCATTAAGTTATTGTTCACAATAAAACGATCAAAAACACATATTATTCAACAACAATAATTAATTTATTCTTTATGGTTTCGCCGAATTCTGCACTTTTAAAATTGCTGGTGTTGCATAACTATAGACGCACTTTTACAAAATTAGAAAAATTTTTTTTGTAAAACTTAAATAAAATAAAATAACTTTTATAAATAATGGGTAGGGCCTCCCGTATTTTGAATAAGTTCAAAAATTGTATCCATCACACTGTTGATCAAAATTATTCGTAAGTCTTCATCGATTGACCGCCATTCATCGAAAATCACTTCTTGGAGGTAAAATACAGTTTGGTATTGGAGGTTTTCTGCATAGACACGATGAGTCAAGATTCCACACATGTTCTCGATCGGATTCTGGTCGGAAATTTTAATATCTTTCGATTTTAACCATACTTGAGTATGAACTTTTTATGAACTGGTGCGTTGTCCTGATAAAAAACGAGTCCTTGATTGTTCCTGCTTCCCCAAAATGGCAATAATTTGTCTTCCAAGACTTGAACGTACTCCATTGAATTCATCCGACAACATGGAAATGTCAAATAAAGCATTCCGTGGCTATAAAATGCGCCCAAGGTGGCGGTTACCGAAATATCGTTATTTCTTAATACAATATTTCGGTGGCGATTCCTTAATTGCCTTGGGAGCATTTTATAGCCACGGAATGCTTTATTTGACATTTCCATGTTGTCGGATGAATTCAATGGAGTACGTTCAAGTCTTGGAAGACAAATTATTGCCATTTTGGGAAAGCAGGAACAATCAAGGACTCGTTTTTTATCAGGACAACGAAAAATATTAAAATTTCCGACCAGAATCCGATCGAGAACATGTGTGGAATCTTGACTCATCGTGTCTATGCAGAAAACCTCCAATACCAAACTGTATTTTACCTCCAAGAAGTGATTTTCGATGAATGGCGGTCAATCGATGAAGACTTGCGAATAATTTTGATCAACAGTGTGATGGATACAATTTTTGAACTTATTCAAAATAAGGGAGGCCCTACCCATTATTTATAAAAGTTAGTTTATTTTATTTAAGTTTTAAAAAATAAATTTTTCTAATTTTGTAAAAGTGCGTCTATAGTTATGCAACACCAGCAATTTTGAAAGTGCAGAATTCGGCGAAACCATAAAGAATAAATTAATTATTTTTGTTGAATAATATGTGTTTTTGATCGTTTTATTGTGAACAATAACTTAATGGGTCCATTTTATTTGTCAACTAACATACCCATTGAATTAAGGGTGCGTCTATAGTTATGATACGCAGTGTATTAAGTTATCATTACAAACAACTTTAGGGGTCTATTTTGGCCAGATCCCAGGACAGACAAACATGTCTAGATCGACTCAGCTAATCGAGATATGACCATCGGTATACTTGAAGGTGGGTCTAAAACCAATATTTCGCTGCGTTGCAAACTCTTGGGGCTGCATAAAGCCCCTTATGTTTGGCCGGACCGGACATTGTATACCCTCTACCAAATTAAATATCTAATCTCGATCAAAATGTAAATTGCTACCAAGAGAAACCGAAATACCGTACTCAGTTTGGAAAATTGGACGTGGACCTTGAACATGTCGAAAATGACACGACGGACGAACATACATAAATCGACTCAGAAAGTGATTGTATATCAGACACCGCTCTGCTTAGAAAATTCGGTGTATGTGGTTGGAGACCTCTATGGACCTCAATTAAAAAAGAAGGAATGTGAATTTTCAATCACTTTGGTTGAATAATTTCTATAACCTCTATAATAAATATAGTTAATTTTTTGCGAAGAAGTTTTCTTCCCACCATGAATGAAGGTATGATCTGCATTTCGGCGCATGTCAAAACATGGACCTATCACCACTTTTTGTTTTCCATCCTCAACATTATCGAAATCACATCTTTACAAATGCGTGGGATCTTAATATTGGAGCTATGTAAAGATGTGAACTTCTAACTAAAATTTGTTTCTGCATATATATCTTTCCTTCCTCAAGAACATGGAATGCTAAATTACAGCAACTTTGGTTTGTAAAGTGCGGACGGCACCGTTATATAAAGAAAATACCAAACGTGGACCTAAATTAACAATTGTCTTGGAAAAAGTTTTCTGCCCACCAACTATACCGAATGCCTAAATGTAGCCTCTTCGATATGAAAATTAATATTGTATTGGAAATGTTCTCCAAACATATTTTTCAGCCTCCATGAATCCGTAATGGCAAAGAAAATTTTTTCCAAAGTTTTTTCTACCTTCCAAGAACCCTGAATGCGAAATAAAAGGCATATGGGTGCAGATCCGAAACATTGTCCTAAATTGAAAATGTTGTGCCAACATTCAAAATACCATAAATGGGGCTGTGCATTAAGTTGGTTATTTAAAATCATGGACACATATTTAAAAGTTCCTTCGAATGCAAAATGAAAAATTACAGCCACTTAGGGACTAAAAATACCGTAAATAGAATTGTTATCTGGTTTATACACATTCTAAGCGTAATAGCAAAGTTTTTCTTAAATATTGCGCTCTCTACGGACAAGGCAAAATCGACATAGAATGGAATTCTGATCATAAATATTTGTACTTTGTAGGCTCTCCGACAAATATTTCCACCTTATAGGGGCAACATATTATTTCACCCCTAAAAAGTTATTTAAAAAATAAAAAAACATCTAAGAAATCCATGACCGTCGACGGCATAATAATATAGTTGTGAAGTTTTTAACTATACTACAACTATTATATGTTTTTAATACGAAATTTTCTAATATGAGACATCGTATATGATTTTCTTTTTATTATTTGTTTCGTAGTTATTACTGCCGAGGTCGAATGGTCGCGACCTCTTCGGGCATTTGATTAAATTAATTATAATTTGCATGTCTTCATTTTCCAGATTCCAAACACCATATTTTTGGCCATCAAACTGTTGGGAACCCGAAAACACAGATTATGCCGTCTATTTATGCAAACGGACGATGCAAAATAAAACCCGCCTAGAATTGGCCGATTATGAGGCAGAAAACCTAGCGAAGCTGCAGAAAATGTTTTCACGCAAATGGGAATTTATATTTATGCAGGTGTGTACTTAAACAGTCTAAACATTTGAAAACACTCTAAAAATAATATTTCTCTATTACAGGCCGAATCACAAAGTAAGGTGGCCAAGAAGCGTGATAAACTCGAACGTAAAGTTCTCGATTCACAGGAACGAGCCTTTTGGGATGTACATCGTCCGATGCCAGGTTGTGTCAATACCACTGAGATTGATATTAAAAAAGCATATCGTAGAGGTGCCTCTAGTCATGGTACCGGTTCTGGGGGTGCCTCAGTTGCCAAAAATCCTATAGAATTATTAACGCGTATTATAACGTTGAGAAAGCAAAAGCTGGAACGTCGCACAATAAAAGTTTCGAAGGCGGCAGAAGCGTGAGTATTAGAAAATTTGAAGATAATTTATATGATAATTAAAATATTTTCGTTTGTAGGTTGGTATCCTATTATGAGCAATATAATGAATTTGATTACTTTATAACCTCACCGGATTTGCCAAATCCCTGGCAAACGGATAGCACAGAGATGTGGGATGCCGAGAAAAATAGGTGAGCATAATTGTATAAATTAAAGAATATTGGATTTAATTACATACTTAATTTTACAGCAAAGAGGTATCCATGAGACGTTGCAAACGCTGGGCATTTAGTATGCGTGAACTATTGAAGGATCCTATGGGCCGTGAACAATTTGCCAAATTTCTGGAAAAGGAATATAGTTATGAGAATTTATTGTAAGTATCAAATAGTTTATAGTATCTTAATTGAAATTGATAATAATGATAAACTCTCGGAGATCGGGAAAATTCGGTGAATTATTTTTAGAACAGCTTCTGGTGTTAGATTGAGCAAAGGCCACCTAATCGCCATTCAAAGTCTGAAATTCTTTGGAATGGGACGCATTTTGTTTATTTTCTATTGTCACTTTCTCAAGGCGTTCTGTCTTTTTTCTTTGAATACCCTTGACGACATTCACCTTCTCTCATTTGTAGAAGCCCTTGTGGAACCCTTATATCGTTAACATTCAATGGTGTTTTGTTTATACCCTTCACCACACTGTGGTACAGGGTATTATGTCTTCGTGCATATGTTTGTAACAGGTAAAAATAATCGAGATAGATCCATGGTTCCTTTTTAGAATATGCATAGAATCACTTTTTAAGTCGATTTATGCATGTCCGTCCGTCTGCCCGTCTGTCTGTCTGTCCATGTATTTTTGTGAACAAAGTACAGGTCGCATTTATGATCCGATTTGGATGAAATTTGGCGTAGGTCACTTTTTTGGCCCAAGGACGAACCCTATTGAAATTGGGACAAATCGGTCCAGATTTAGATATAGCTCCCATATATGTTTTCGTCCGATTTAAGGTAAATGGTGTACCAATGTCACTACATATCTTTCGATTTGTACGAAATTTGGCATAGCGTAATGAATTATGTCTAGAATGACGTGCGTTAAGTTTCCTGGAAATCGGTCCAGATTTAGATATAGCTCCCATATATATTTTCGTCCGATTTAAGGTAAATGGTGTACCAATGTCACTACATATCTTTCGATTTGTACGAAATTTGGCATAGCGTAATGAATTATGTCTAGAATGACGTGTGTTAAGTTGCCTGGAAATCGGTCCACATTATATTTTCGTCCGATTTAAGGTAAATGGTGCACCAAAGTCCCTAAATATCTTTCAATCTGCACGAAATTTGGCACAGCGTAATTAATTAGGTCTACAATGATGTGTGTTAAGTTTCCTGAAAATCGGTTCAGATTTAGATATAGCTCCCATATATATTCTCGTCCGATTTTATGTAAATGGTGCACCAAAGTCTCTATATATCCTTCGATTTGCACGAAATTCGACATAGCGTACTGAATTGATACTAGAATGATGTGTGCAAAGTTTCGTGACAATCGGTTCAGATTTAGATATAGCTCCCATATATTTTCATCCGATTTTAGGTAATTGGTGCACCAAAATCTCTGAAAATCATTCGATTTTCACGAAATTTGTCATAGCGTACTGAATTACAGCTACAATGACGTGTGCTAAGTTTCGTGAAAATTGGTTCAGATTTAGATATAGCTCCCATATATATTTTCGTCCGATTTTCGTCGTTTTTATGAAAGGAATTTTTTTAGAAGACTTCAATATGATCTAAGGTCTGTGAATGAGGCTCCGACCTAGAAGAAGGTTTTTTACAGTTACAGCAATCATACATAGTGGAAAATCACCGATTCAAGAGGTAACACGACTAGAATAACGTTCATCTTTAGAATATGGTATTTAGAAGACCTCTGTAAAAATAATACCTATGAAAGTTGTTCGGTCTGCAGAAAATCCCTAGAAGTTTCTTCCGAGTTGGAATGTCCCCTTAAAAGACCACTGAAGGTGTTTATCTTTGAAATGTTTCTGAAGGATCTGCTTTTTATAATTAGAACCCCAAGTCAGTATTCCTTCTACATAGTTCCGGCTCTTCTGTTTTTAAAGAATACCTTATGATAGTGTACAGACTGTCTTTAAAATACCTTCAAGTAGTCTGTTCTCATGAAACCTTTTGCTTTGCAAAATACAACTAGAATTATACCTTCCTTCTGCACATTCCGTTGATGACTACCATTGATTTTTTCTAAAATATTTAAATATATTATTAATATCATACCTATTTTCCTACTCCGTTCTACTTTACATATTTGCCCTAATTTCTCCTCTCTCTCTAATTTCTTTTTGTTGACATGTATAGGACCTATTCTTTGAGGATCTTTAAAATGATTTTTTATGAATGATAGAATAAGACTTTTGAAAGGACCACAGAAAGCTCTCCTGACTGTATAAGTCTGGACTTTATTGTACTAACTTTTTATAGTCTTCCTCCTAATAACGTCATCATTAATGCCTTGATCCTTAGACATGCACGCCGACGTTCTAATCGATCTAAAGGTCCTTTGATATGTTTTATATAGAAGGATTTTTGTACAAAGAAGGCTTTCGCATGTATAAGTTCTTTAAAAGTTCATATACCTCTTAACAAAATCTATGCCATCTCTTTGCAAAAAAAAAAAAAAAAAACAAAAAACGTCAGGAAAGTATCGCCATATTAAAGACAAAGTATTACCATTTACAAGACTGATAGGAGGTGGACTAATGGGAGTGTTGGTAATTTGCGGCGCATGTTTTCACTAAACATCTATATGTAGAGAAGTATGTTAGATATATTAGGCAAATTTTCTGACCGAAACGGCTATAATTTCGTATTTAAGTTTTTCAGAGGATCAACAATTACCTTCAAGCCAGAATTCATATTTTCAGTATAGGTTATTCCGTGGTGCTTCCATAAAAATATCAATAAATAATATATTCAGAATAATGGTACCCAAGTTTTTATTTTTTTTTTTTGGTTCCCCGTGATGGAGATTTTAACCTGGTCCTCTTTCTTTTAAACATTTTTATTTATATTCGATATTTTTTCTTTCTAGGTTCTGGGAATCAGTGCAAGAAATGAAGGCACTACCTCAAAGTGAAATTAAGGAGACGATACAGCGCATCTGGCAAGAATTCCTCGCGCCCGATGCACCAAAAGCTGTTAATGTCGATTCGAAATCAGTGGAATTGGCACGCGAAGCTGTCAATTCACCGAATGGACCAAATCGTTGGTGTTTTGATGTTGCTGCCGCCCATGTTTATCATCTGATGGAACGTGATTCATATCCACGCTACTTACGTTCCGATATGTATAAGGATTATATTAATTGTTCACGCAAGAAGATCAAGTCGATACCAAATCTATTTGGGGTGAAACGCTGAAGCGTGGTTCCTGCGGTTGCTTTGTCCTCGGCAACCGCAGCAACCACCTCGTCCCACCACCATCATCATCAGCAAGCACATCCTACAACATCATCATCGTCGGCAACGTCGGCTGGCGGTGCTGGTGTTGCATCGACACCATCGGGAGGAAGTGCATCGCAGCATACGCCGCATCATAGATTTTCATCGTAGATTTCAAATAAAATATTTTGTGAGTACATGAAGTGAGAAGAGAGAAGTAACTTGTATGGTATCCTATACCACCACCCTCATAACTATACTCATCGTTAGAAAGCCAGGAATTGTAGGGTATTATTAAAAAAAGGAAAATTAATAATAAATAAAATAAAATATTTACAAAAAAAACTATATATGAATGTGCAACACATTAAATCGTTTTTTAGATTTTAAAAGCAAATTTAGCGAAATGGTGGTTGAATGTTGAAAAATTAAAGAGAAAAATATAGAAAAGAAAATGGCTGCTATATTCGAATTATATTTTGTAATTTTTTATTTTTTTTTTTAATTTAATTGAACCAAAAGAATAAAATAAAAAATTAATTATTTAATGGCTATCAAAACATAAACAAAACAGGAGATATATAAATGTTTATTTTTGTGTTATATTTATATGTAAAAAAATACAAAAAACAAAAATAAAACTAACAAACCGAGAAACTAATCGTTAAACGTATGTTAAATGTAAGTTTAAATGAAAACTAAGCAAATAATAATAAAATTAAAAACAATATACATATATGGAAATTTACCTTATAAGGATTTGGTCGAAACATTTCGAAAACATATACATACATATATTACATATAATCAAAAAAGAAAAAGCCCCCGAATATCACCCCCATCCTTTATATCGCCCCAAAGATTCGAAAATAAAAGAAACATATTTACATACACTCATACATTACAGAAACATATACATCAATATATATCGTTATTAAAGAATATATTTCAAAGGCCAACACACCCGTGGATTTATTAAAGAATATTTTTCAAGGGCCAACTGAGGCGTGGATTTATTAAAGAATATTTTTTCAAGGGCCAACTGAGGCGTGGATTTATTAAAGAATATTTTTTCAAGGGCCAACTGAGGCGTGGATTTATTAAAGAATATTTTTCAAGAATATTAAAGAATATTTTTCAAGGGCCAACTGAGGCGTGGATTTATTAAAGAATATTTTTCAAGGGCCAACTGAGGCGTGGATTTATTAAAGAATATTTTTCAAGGGCCAACTGAGGCGTGGATTTATTAAAGAATATTTTTCAAGGGCCAACTGAGGCGTGGATTTATTAAAGAATATTTTTCAAGGGCCAACTGAGGCGTGGATTTATTAAAGAATATTTTTCAAGGGCCAACTGAGGCGTGGATTTATTAAAGAATATTTTTCAAGGGCCAACTGAGGCGTGGATTTATTAAAGAATATTTTTCAAGGGCCAACTGAGGCGTGTATTTTCAAGGGCCAACTGAGGCGTGGATTTATTAAAGAATATTTTTCAAGGGCCAACTGAGGCGTGGATTTATTAAAGAATATTTTTCAAGGGCCAACTGAGGCGTGGATTTATTAAAGAAATATTTTTCAAGGGCCAACTGAGGCGTGGATTTATTAAAGAATATTTTTCAAGGGCCAACTGAGGCGTGGATTTATTAAAGAATATTTTTCAAGGGCCAACTGAGGCGTGGATTTATTAAAGAATATTTTTCAAGGGCCAACTGAGGCGTGGATTTATTAAAGAATATTTTTCAAGGGCCAACTGAGGCGTGGATTTATTAAAGAATATTTTTCAAGGGCCAACTGAGGCGTGGATTTATTAAAGAATATTTTTCAAGGGCCAACTGAGGAATATTTTTCGTGGATTTATTAAAGAATATTTTTCAAGGGCCAACTGAGGCGTGGATTTATTAAAGAATATTTTTCAAGGGCCAACTGAGGCGTGGATTTATTAAAGAATATTTTTCAAGGGCCAACTGAGGCGTGGATTTATTAAAGAATATTTTTCAAGGGCCAACTGAGGCGTGGATTTATTAAAGAATATTTTTCAAGGGCCAACTGAGGCGTGGATTTATTAAAGAATATTTTTCAAGGGCCAACTGAGGCGTGGATTTATTAAAGAATATTTTTCAAGGGCCAACTGAGGCGTGGATTTATTAAAGAATATTTTTCAAGGGCCAACTGAGGCGTGGATTTATTAAAGAATATTTTTCAAGGGCCAACTGAGGCGTGGATTTATTAAAGAATATTTTTCAAGGGCCAACTGAAAGAATATTTTTCAAGGGCCAACTGAGGCGTGGATTTATTAAAGAATATTTTTCAAGGGCCAACTGAGGCGTGGATTTATTAAAGAATATTTTTCAAGGGCCAACTGAGGCGTGGATTTATTAAAGAATATTTTTCAAGGGCCAACTGAGGCGTGGATTTATTAAAGAATATTTTTCAAGGGCCAACTGAGGCGTGGATTTATTAAAGAATATTTTCAAGGGCCACATCCAAGGCGTGGATTTATCTCATCTTAAACATATCTTCAAACTTATTTTATAACACGTCGTACATGCCATTTGCCGTACAAGCCTATTAGATTGAAATAAAAGTTAAATTTCAAAAGTGAATTGATATAATGTTAACGAACGATAAAAATAAATTATTTTTTGTTAAATGATCATTTCTATACGTTACTATTTTAACATTCCTGACTATACGTAGCGACAAACATCATGCTTAAAATGAAATGCTAACGGAATACTAATGCAAATCTTGATGAATGAACTAATAACGAAAACAACAAACACTTAAAATATTCAGAGAATTTAAAAAGAAATAAAAATGAAATAATTCCCAAACAAATCGAAATAAATTCTCAACAGTTGATTATAGAAAATGTGATTAGACTTTAGTGGAATTTTTCACAGAATATAAATCATTTATTCTGAACAATTAAAGTTCCCAAATCGTTGACATAGATCAAAGTACGATAAAAATCAGAGTGTAAAGAGTGCAAAATCAGTCATTTGACAAATTTTGCTGCTAAGAAAAATATATATCTCAAAAATATTCGCAGTTAATTGGCTATCAGTTAAAAATTTATGATTTCCAGATTTCTTATCATTAGACCGATATCTTTGGTTTTATTTACATCGCAATTTCAATTAAATTTTTGCTACAAATTTCATCATGAACGATAGCGCGGGAGTTTTATTAAAAAATAATAAATTAATTAGGAAATTAAAAAACAGAGACCCACCCACACATTGTTTGGGGTGTTAGTAATATAATATTGTTTCCATGGTTTAAATGCGATGTGACGAAATTATTACCACATGATTGAAAATTAACCATAATCTGCGACTACGGCCAAGTGATTCACAAAACAAAAATCACAATTAAATGAAATAAAAGAGGGTATTTCTTCAATGAATTTTTAGAGAGGATTTAAGAGTAGGACTAACTTAAGAGAGGACTTTTAAAGGAAAAATTTCTTCACCGGGATCTCCGGTGAATAATTGGAGGCGTTGCACACGTATATTTTGACACGCCTGCCTGCTTTTCTATTTGAAGTCACGATAGGTAGATTTACGATAGAGCTATAAAATGTTGGCATACAAACTATTAACCGTATATGTATATGGGCAATATTGCCAATTTTTTAACATAGCTGAAGCGGAGGTTCACCCCTTTATAACTCGGGATCTACTTAAGTATATGATAAAAAGTGAATAGTTTTGGGTTAATTGATCTGTCGTTGCAAACTGTTCATGATATTGACCTCCAAACTTTATTTTGGTAGAAGCTGTGTCTACTTTAATGTAAAAAAATGTGTAAAAACACGTTGAGGCGAACCAGTTTTTTTATGTTCTCTATCGATTTGTGACTAAGCCACTCATTGCACGGTCTTCGTGTCAAAATAAAACTAGAAGCCAACAAAATGGGGACTACGCCCCTTATGTATCATTTTTCAAAATTTTCACTGCATCTACCTTTAAATGATGCTGACATTTTGAAGCTCGATTTTGAGTGTTTTTTTAATTTTACTTCTAGTTTTAATACGCAAACAGGAATTTATAAAAATCGATTATAAGATTATTGTAGTCGCGAATCTGCGTAATTTGATATGTATTTTGTGTATGTAGTATGGACAGCTTCAGAGTAATATTCATCCGAAGTTGAGAACTTTGTGCGATCAAATTTCTAAAAAAAAAACTTTTTTCGGGTCAAATTTTTAGATCTGTCAACTGAATGATATGGGTACCCCCGATCAATAAGGTTTTTTACGTTTCGGATGATGTAAAATCTTCTTCGTGAAAATCCATCTACTAGAACGGAGGGAACTGGCCTTCCAAAAACACGAAATTTGGCAAAAAATGTTTTTGAAAATATCGCGGATTTATTTGCGTTTTCTGTGGATCATTTCCGCTTCAATAAATAACCTGATACGGATTTTGAAGTTTTGCGAAAACAGAACTTTAAAAACTTCAGCCGAAATGTACCCAATTTATATCAAAAATTGTGTGAGCTGGCACATCCATGGTTCTTAATGGACCATATTGAAATCGGTATAGATCGATGTATTTTTTTAGGCTGCACACCGAAATCGGATGCGCGTTAATGGCATATGGAGTTTTCGGAAATTATTCGCGTTTTAAGAGTTTTTGGGTACTTCAATGCAAGATGTGGTCATCTTAGCCGTAAAATGAAATTTCGAAAAATATACATGGATTGGAAGATAAATTATTGATTTTGATAATTACGCGATTTAGACGCAATTTAAAATGTATATTTCATAATATAGTTTTATTTTAAGATTTATTTCTACTTACAGAACCCCAAGATTTATCGGAAGGGTCTTGGTACAATCCGCAAGGTGTATACTTATACACATGAAGTGATTATTTTCATATATGGCAATTTTTCGGCGAAATTCAGGTAAAATAGAAGAATAACCTCAACTTTTTTTCTGAAATTTCTTGTATAAAATTAAAAAATAAATATGATGAAATTATTTCTTCGAACCAAAAACAAATATTTTTCCTCAATATCTTGTTTTGTTGTCGGTGTAATTTACAAACCGCTACACGAACTTGTGTGATTTTGAT